GGGAGGAGATGTGCGGCGAGTCGGCGACCTGCTCGGTCAGCTTCGAGGCGCTGGTGCACAACCCGCTGAACATTTTCCACATCGAAGTGACGATCCAGGACGTGAATGACAACACACCGCACTTTCTGCGAGACAAATTTCAGCTGGAAATAAGCGAATTTACTTCTCCCGGGGCCCGGTTTTACTTGGGCATGGCAGAGGATCCGGACGTGGGCAGTAACTCGCTACAAGGCTACGAGCTGGAAGCCAATGGGTACTTCATAGTGGAGGTGAAAGACAGCCAAGACGGCAGCAAATCCGCGGAGCTGGTGCTGCGCCACTCATTAGACCGGGAGAGCGAGCCGACCTTGCGTCTGCTGCTGACTGCGCTGGACGGCGGAGACCCGCCCCGGACTGGCACCGCCCAGCTCTGGATCAACGTCACCGACGCCAATGACAACCCACCCGTGTTCGCGCAGGATCGGTACCGCGTCAGCCTGCGCGAGGACACGCCTCCGGGATCAACGGTGCTGAACATCTCTGCCTCCGATGCTGATGCCGGCACCAATGCCCAAATCACCTATCGCTTCGGGGAAATGCCGGCTAAACTGCTTCAGAAGTTCACAGTAGATGCCCAGACAGGGACGATCACGCTGCAGGAGGCACTGGACTTCGAGAACACGCGCGCTTTCAGCCTGGCTGTGGAGGCGACGGATGGAGGGGGTTTGGTGGCGCACTGCAAGGTGGAGGTGGAGGTGCTGGATGTCAATGACAATCCACCTAAGATCACGATACTGTCGCTCTCGAGCCCAGTGCCTGAGGACGCACCAGTCGGCACCGTAGTGGCTCTCTTGAATGTAAACGCTGCTTAAAACCCGTAAAGCCGGGTTTTAATCCTGTTTCCAAAATTTGCCGTGTAGTGTCCCATGTTTTGAGGGAATGCAGCTGCAGAAAATGCAGCATTAATAGGACGGAGGTATATTTCCCAGTCATGATTTTTCAAAGTTTTTTTGAAGCATTATTTGTCATTTCAACAGAGAACAAGTATTCTTGGCCTCCAGAAAGATATCCGCTGATTCTGTGTGACAAAATTCAGAAAAGGGAATTATCACTTTTGGTCTGTTGGTAGGAAGTGGCATGTGTTTGCTTGGTTTTTTTTTTGTTTTTTTTTTTTTTTTTTTTTTTTTTTTTTTTTTTTTTTTTTTTTTTTTTTTTTTTTTTTTTTTCCCTGAGACGTGTGGATTTTCGACACGAAAGGAGAAATCACAGGTTGTTCCTCCCTGCTGGAAGTGTTGAGTGCATCTGGGCATAAATTTTCTTCAGGAGTGGTAGGCGAAGTTGCTTAATTATTCCAGTCATTATTTATCTCTGCAGTTCTTTCTGCAGTGCCGCGAGTTCCTGCTGTTCCCCTTGCGTCTTTCCAAACCGTAGCTCTCCTTTCCTTGGGTTTCCCCGGATAGTGTAGGTGAGAGTGGCCGGTCCATATCCCCGAGAAGGAATGAAAGAACAGAGTGATTTCTTCTTCTAATAACAGGCAATTAGCCATAGCTCCTTATTCTGCGGTGGCCACAGCTTCAGATTAATCTAAGCGGTTTTGTCTGCATCTATTGAGTTGACTAAAATCGTATTAATTAGTAGCTGTGATGGGGAATCATAACTGTGCAGGAGATTAGCCTGTTCTTCATGAAGAATTGGGGAAATAACGCAGATTTTTCCTTCATGAGTGGTTTATCCTGGAATTTACCCTGTATTCTGGGACCTGTTTAAAAGCTGGCCACATACCCTTTGTTTAACAACTTTTCGGTCTTGGACTTCATAAAGACTCGTTTCTTATGGATAGAAAAGTGACAGGTTCTTCATCCGAAGTAAACGAAGAGACTCATCTTTTGCGTGAACACTGTTGCAGAAATGGCAGGATTGTTACCATTCGCGGGGTGACTTAATTTTGCTAGTTTTCTTTTTCCGTTCTGGCTGGTACTTTTTTTTTTTTTTTTTTTTACCTATTCCTATTTTT